CTATTGGTAGTGGATTTCAACTGTGTTTGAGATTTGGTTTTGCAAAATAATTTATATGATATGTATATTAATGTTTTATAAAAAATGATTGCAAAAAGGTTTTAATTCTCCATCTGAGTAGAGAGTGTGACACCAAAGAATTTGGGGTAGCTTGTCTCAGCTGCTAGGGTTAGACTCGAAGCACATGTAGTGCGTATTTGGATGAAACACTAAACCCGATCCATTTTCCAGTTATGCCCTGGACTTTGAAGATTGATATGGGCAAAACTGAAAAGTTACATATAACCCCTAGACTTGATTATGGTACAACATTAAGTGTTGGATTGGTTTGTCTTTGATGTGCCAATCAATGAAATCCATCAATGGTCAAAACCTAGGTATGTTGGGGCAGTTTGAGAATTCACCTAAGAAGTTGGGGCAACTTGTCTCAGCTGCTAGGATTAGACTCGAAGCACAGGCAGCACGTGTTTGGATGAAACACTAAACCTGGTCCATTTTCTAATTATGCCCTGGACCTTGGGGATTGATATGGGCAAAACTGGAAAGTTACACATAACCCCTTGACTTGATTATGGTACTACACTAGGTGTTGGATTGGACTGTCTTTGATGTGCCAATCAGTGAGATCCATCAATGGTCAAAACCTAGGTATGTGGGGGCAGTTTGATAATTCACCTAAGTGGGTGATCATAGTGGTAGGATTGGTCCCTTTGTTAGACAAACTGAATGATAGGGTTTACATTCTTTCTGATAAAAACCTAAACTATTGGTAATGGATTTCAATTATGTCTGATATTTGGTTTTGCAAAATATATTTATATGATATGTATATTATTTTTTTATGAAAAATGTTTACAAAAAGATTTTAATTCTCGAAATCCATCTGAGTAGAGAGTGTGACACTACACCTTGCAGTTAGGGAAGAGGTATTTCCCTGTTTGGTGGTGTTTGATCATTATGGGCCGAGATGTTAAGTGTAAAAGACCATTAGAGGGATGATTACCTGATGGACTTTATCTTACTTAAGTCCATTATCCTTAGATCTTCATAGGATGGCTGAATTTAAGGATCAAAGTGTAGATGTTTGGCCCATTTTGAGTCCATAGTGATGTACTCAGGGGTTCACTGTGTTTAGCAGTGAATTTGGCTAAGCCTTTTCACAGAGGCTAAGGCGAACCCATATGGACTTATCTTAGGTCATTGTGGGGTCCCACACCATACAAATCAGGCAAAAGTTGGCCATGCAACACCCTTGGGTTGGGAATCATATAACTGATGGGCCTAAGGCCCATAATTAATATGATTAATTAAGCTGGCACATGACAACTTAAGCCATGGGGTGAATCTGGGTCTGGAGCACCTAATCTTATAAGAAAATAAGGTATATCTCTAATTAGAGTCCATATCTAATTTAGATCTAGATTATCTCATAATTAGATTAGGAGATAGCTCCATAAGAGATTATAAAAGAGGAGGGGGCTGACCAGTCCAAGAGAGCTTCATATTTTGGCAGTTTCTAATTTTTGCAAGAAAAATTCAGGGAATATCAGGCTCATCATCCTTAGTTCGATCCAAGCAATTATAATTTTAGTTTTGTTGAAAACTATGTTGCTGAATCAGTTTCACCTATACACTGCGCCATCATCAGTAGAGGCTAGTTTTAGGACTGATTTGGAAGTGAACTTCCACCTTAGAATCTGCATTTGTGGTATCCGTATTATGTATACATCTCCCTTTTTGTTTGGTTTCAAATCTAGTCTGATTCAATGCAAGACCGATCTTGAAAAATGCAGTTTTTCAAAACATAGGGAATTTGATTCCCAAAAGATTAGGAAATTTTTGAAATTTTGCCCAACCATTTAGAATGGTTTGACTATCCATATTATGGATGCTAACCCTTCCAACTCCCAATAACATTCATTGAATCATATTCTTAACTAGAATATCCCTATTTTTGAATTTGATCCTTCTAATTTTAAGGACATAAAATGTAATTTGAACTACTACATCTCCTTATTCAATTCCCTCTCATTAAGTCTTATATTTAGGGTATTAACTCTCATTCTTTCATTAATCCTATATGTAAGCTATTCTTCACACACACACACAAAAAGAAAAATCTATTAAGTAGATCTACATCCAAAACTTTCAAGGATATAAAATACATGCTTTTTAAAATTTATCAAAAAATGAAACTATTTTTTCATCATGGTGGAGAATAAGGAATTCAACCATCTAGGTAAAGTGGGCTAATGCATGATGTTATAATTAAATAAAAATTTTTAAAATAAAAATATAGAAAAATTGGGTACACCTCTAATGTTTTATATATATTAATCATATTAAATAATAATAACGTGATAAATAATAATTGTTCTTATTGATGTTGGAATGAAATATAGATTTAAAACCAATCCAAAAATAAAATTATTTGTGGTGGTGGATAAAAAATTCAACCTTTTGAATCAACTATGCCAACCATTGATATCATAATTAAATAAAAATAAAAGAAGATAAATAACACAAAAGCATTATGTAATAATACAAAAAAATTGTAAATAACATTTAAACACCTATCTAATATTCTATATCAATCATATTAAAGAAAATAAGTGTGATAAATAATAAACTATAGATGCTTTATTAATGTTGGAAATAAAATATAAAATTTAAAACCAACCCAAAATTGAATTTGTTTTCCTGGTGGTGAGTTAACAATTCAACCTTTTAGGTCATATTTGTCAACCTTTGATTCATAATTAAATAATACAGATTTAAAAAAGATAAAAATATAAAAAAATGAAAAGAATATAGAAACTCTATAGAAAACATTTGGACACAAGAATTATTTATGACCTTTTTATTGATGATGTCAATAAAATATAAAACCCAAGAATGAAATTGTTTTCCTGTTTGGTGGTAGATTAACAATTCAACATTTCAAGTCAAATGTATTAACTCGTTAAGGTATAATTAAATAATAAAAATTAAAAAGATAAAAACACAAAAACTATATAAATTATGTAGAAAACATTTCGGTATATCTCTAATATTTTATATTAGTGAAACTTATTAAAGAAAAATAAGTGTGACAAAATAAGAATAACTTTGATAGACATAGAAATATAAAATATTTTGGAAACATATTATATACTATTATCATCACCATCAAAATTTGTCACGCACACACTTACTAATGATATATGTCCATACTTAATTTCTTGTTTGAATCGACAATATTACTAGTCCAAATAATGTTTAAAATATAGATTTTCAAATGATGGAAAGAAGAGTAGTGGGATTTTAAGCAAAGGAAATAATTAGGGGTGCAAATTGGGCGGGCTAGGCAGGGCTTAAGCTCAACCTAGGCCCAACCCTAAGAATTGGGAGTAGGGCCTGAGCCCAAGGTCAAGCCCGAATTGTTCAATCTAAGCTCAGCCCGCATAAAATTTGATGCACTCGGGTTGGGCTTGGTTCTTGACCAGGCTCGGATTGGTCAATTAGTCTACACTAAAATTTGATATAAATGTATATTTATATGAAATGCATGTATCAAAATGTATGGTTTACAAAAAGATGTATGCATTTGTATTTATTCAAATATGTGTTTATATATATAGATAGATAGAAAGATAGATATATGCACATAATTGGGTTAGGCTCGAGTTAGGAGAAGGTTAGGTCGAGCTCAATCAAGTTAGACCTACCTAAGGATTAAACTTGGACCCAACCCAAACTTTTTGGCACAGGCCCAACTTAAGGACTGAAAATCTAAAACCAACCTGTGTAAAATTGTGGGTTGGGCCCGCCCAAATTGCATGCAATTGATATTTGTGAATGTCTATCTTGTAAGGTTGATTTTTTTTTTCTTCCTTTTCTTCCTTAAACTTGACAAAATAATCTTCATTTCCTGCAATAGGTTTTATTCTTTAAGAAGTCCCCTCACACAAAAGTCTATTGGGCTTGAAGCATGGACAATCACACACCCTCATACCTTCTACTGAAATTTAATTAATTATAATGGGGTACCGGGAACTGAATACCGAACTGCTTGATCAAACAGGCTTTAATACCACGTCCAAAAACCTTTCAACCTAAATACTTAAGCTGAGTTACATGAATAGGCTTTCATTCTCTAACACAGCTTAACAGCTTAATTGTTTCATTACTGTCACAAATTATAATAACTGCTAGGAGTCATGTATCATATTTATACAGGGGCAAAGCCTGGGGGTGGCGGAGGGGGAGACATTGCCCTAGAGAGAGGACAAAAATAGGACAGCACATAGAAGTAACTTTACGTGGCATACATGTATCTAAAAGTACTTTTATTAGATGGAGCAGAAATTTCTAAGAAACAAAACGAAGTTACTTTTCACTTCATTAGAACGATTTTCTGTTATTATTCTATCCTTGCCAACTTCTACTTTTAGTTAGCCTTCAGGAAAGCACTTTGCTATTGTGCTTCAGGAAGCAAATATACAAAAGGTTATCCAAACAAACCTCAGTTACCTTTCCTAATATCATAGCTTTGAAACCATTTACGTAATAGCTATTTAACGCAAACATTCGTGCATGGTGCAGTGCACAAACTTCTATATGATAATCATTTAATTGGAACTTTATTGGAAGACTGCTATTAGATTTAGATATATTTTTAATGTTATGGTACTGATGTTATGATTTATTTTTCATGGAGAAGAGACCTCTGAAACTACGGATACTATTATATGATTAATATATAATTGATCTAATGGATTCACTTATTCCTTACATGGTTTCTGGATAACTACCTGCATTGCGGAGATCGGTAGCTTTTATCTATCAAGCTAGAATGGGTTCTAAGATTGAACAAACTTGAAGTTTGGAGATAATTTGAAGGCAATTTACCGAAGAATAGATGAAAGAATTAATGACGTAGTGGTCCTAGTGCTTTTTGTTCAGACTGATCAGAAATATATCTTAATATCTATGATTGTTCAGACTGATCAGGAATATACCTGGGATAGCTGCTGTTCTTGACAGCTTTCTGGCCGTATTTTCTCCAGCGGAAACCATCGTCAAGGATATCCTCTGTACTCCGCGTCTGGAACGCAAGCCTCGGCCGACTTGCTTTCTTAGTCCTGCTCGCTCTTGCCTTATCTTTACCACCCTTTTCTTCTTCGATTTGGTTTCCAGTTGTTACAGCTGCACTCGCCAATAATGGCTTCTGTTCGCCAAATCCTAACGAACCGGAGAGGAGGCTAACCCAGTCTATGTCGGGTATGATTTGGGAATCCTGTTGGTGAGGCTGATGCAGTAGAATTGGAAGAGGAGTAGGTGGTGGTGGTGGGTGCAATAAGGTGGATCCAAGCGCCGATGAAGGTGTGAAGAAGTAAGATGGATTAATGTGGGAGGGTGGCAGTGGTGGCAACGGCGGTGGGGCTTCTCCTTCCATGGACAGGGCTCCACTGTGAAAGGATTCACGAGTTCTATTTGTAAAGGAGAAGAGAGAAATTATCTTTGCCGCATGCAGATGGTGGAAGGTGAGAAGGGGTTGGACTGACCCACACACACAGAGAGAGAGAGATTCTTAAATAGTTGAAACCATGGGAGGCAAGTTTGTTCTCTCTTCTTACACCCAAAAGGCCAACCAAACCCACCTACTTTCACCTGCCCTATCCTATGTAAAGGAGAGATGTGCCGTATCGTTATCACCAAAGCAAGGGCAGGGTGTATTACATCTAGGGGTGTTGTTGATTATGGTCCAAACTGCCAAAACCGGAGGAGGAGCGAACCAAACTGAAATTGATGGTTTGATTTGGTCCGGTCTTAAAAGCGGTCTATCTGTTCTGCAAAATTTTAAAATTTTGATTTACAGTTTTGGTCCGGTTTTCTCAATTTTAGAAACCAAACTAGACCATAAACCAAAATAAATCAAATTATTAATATATAATATACATAATATAATTATATATTATATGGCATTTATTAACAATTCAATGTTGTATTAAAAACTGGATCTATCCCATTTCTATACTAAAACAGTTTGGTTTGGTCTAATTTTTTTTTTTTTTCAAGACTGGACCGGACCATGTACACCCTCTAACTAATCTCTGCTCTCTCTCTCTATCTCTCTCTATGTCAATATATTAATATAACGAGGCATGGCATTCTTTTGAGTCTTAGAAACATGTACCGTGTCCCCCAGAATAAGTTATCTGATCACGTTTTGTTGACCAACCGGTTCGATTGTTCATCTTTGACTGGTCTGTCACCCTTCCGATGTGCTAGAAACTGTCCCTGGATTTTGTTTTCAGGGTGTTTTAAATTAAACTGCCTCTACACCCTTCGCAAAGGTGAAGGGACTGACCAAACGATCAATAATTAAAGGTCAATCAAACCCTTTCAAGAGCTGATACATCAAACTGATCTCTGTGGGGAAAATAATAGCTCTAATGGAACGGTATATTTTCAAATCCTGAGTTCCTAACAACTATTATCACGTCGCGTCGCGTCGTGTTAGACTCAGCTCTGGGGTCGCTGAATGGTTGTTTTGGTTTTTAAACTAAAATTAATTGCAACTTAAAAAAAAAAGGGTAAATTATAAAGACCCCCTTGTACTATGGGGTCAGTGATAAATTCCCCTCTGTGCTTTTTTTTGCAACAAAGACTCTCCTGAATTTTAGCTGTTAGACAAAGATTCCCTTTGACCGTTAAGTTAGATGATAGAAAGTGTTAAATTATCAAAATACCCCACTAAACTCTTTCAATTTTCTTTTTTTTTGTTTTTTTTTTTTCTCTTAAAACTTATTTCTCCTAAAAGCAATCGAAAATTTTCCAATTAACGCATTGGTCCAATCATGATAGGAGAAAAATAAAGTCCAACTCAACTCTGTTTAAACTTTAAACTTGGTCATGTAAAACCCAAAGCACCATACACAGTAATAAGATAAAGTCCGACATGCTTTTTATGGTCATCTTAGTGTAGGGAAAATAATAAAACTATAAAAGAGTCCTCGAAAGTTGTTTATTACCATTACTCATGATTTACAACTGCTAGCTTATTTCCTGGGTTTCTTTTTTTATGAATGAAATTGCTATTTTCACTATGTTTCTAAAGAAAGGCTCATCTTTCAGGATACTGTATATTTTTAAAGCTATTCGGGTTTGTATTTCGAACTGAAAGTGGAAAAGCACAAGAACCCATCAAGGCTCTCTCTCCTTACCTCAGAAGTGTGGCATCTTTCGAGCGCAGAAACTGAACCTCCGATTGGCACAAAGCTGTCAACCCGCAGTGGTAGAGAATCTTCTTGGATTTGTGAGAAAGAAGAAAGAAAGAATAAAGATCCCGCAACTTTTTCTTTTCCTTGTTCAAAGCTGAATTGAGGAATCAAGATAGATTCCAACTTTCAGAGCTTCGAGAGGCTGGTTTGAGAGAGAGAGAGGAGAATCCAAGCCAAGCCAGAGCTCTCAAGTCTTCAACCAGAAGAGACACCAGTTCAAGGTCACTATTGCCAGCTAGATGTGCGTTACCAAAGAAGGAAGAGAGAAAGAGAGCAGGTGAAGACCAATTTAATTACAATCTCCAAAATTAAATCCTCATTCACCATTGCCATTTGCAAGTAATAAAAGAACCACGTGTTTCCCCTACCCCTCTTTCTATAAAGCATTAAACTACCATTTATTACCGCCTACCCAATCACCAAAAAATTCACAAGCAACCGTGCAGGAACAAAGACCATGACGACTCTTTGTCTTTGTTCTACTGTTCTGTCTCTGCATCTCAAGAATTGGGGTTTTGGGTTTCTGAAATTCTTGCCGTTAAACCCTGTCCTTTTTAGTTGTTTGACAGAGCACAGGGAGGGGGGAGAAAGAAAGTCAAGAAGAACCAAAACCAAAAGTAGAATAATAAGGAACTGATTTCCAAGGAGGGGGAGGAGAAAAAACAACAACCCAGTTGATGTCTGTTGTGTTAGAGCTGAGGTGGTGGGTGCACGAGTTACGAGAGAAGTTGCCATCGAGGTGGTGGAGTCATGCACGCACTCAATGTTGGTTTAAACATTTCACTTGTCAAAATAAAAATAAGTTGTGGCAGTTATGGCCAAGAGTAACGGAAAAACAGAGGAAAGCAGGAGCCGCTGTTCGTGTATCCTGAGGTCAGTGAAGATGAACAGTGTTTTTCTTCCAATTGTAAGAATAGTTATTACAATAGTAGTATGGGAATTAAAAAATATTATAATGGCAGATTTCAACGGAAAGCTAACGGAAGGGGGTCTTTGTTTTATAGTCATAGTATAGGGGGGTCTTTGTCACAAAACAAAATATAGGGGGGTCTTTGTAATTTACCCTAAAAAACCAACTATCTCTTCGAAAAAACCAACACATTTTTTTTCTGATGTAACCAATTGATTTTGTTTTAGAAAATAAAATCATTTTACATTGGTGAATATCCCTTAAACGTAGGACTGTCAATGGATCGAGTCTATCTAACAGAATCAAATTGATCGGACTAATAATGTTAGGTGTCGTTTGATTGCACTTTTTAGATGTCTAAATCTGAAAAGTTTGTTTTTCAGATACCTTGCTTTGTTTGTTATTACCTCTTATTACAAATCTGAAATTGGATTTCAGATCTTAATTTCTTAGAGGTGGAGAAACTGCTTAATGTGCTCAGAACTAATTCAGAGGTGTATAAAAGACATAAATACCCTTAAAGAAATTTTAATATTACATATTTTTGTCCTTTCATGTAAATCTAATCGAACACTCACTTTGAACTGAACGAAGCTCCACCGCCACCACCGCCGCTGCACTCTCTATTTCTCTCTCCAGCGGCGGTGGTTCTTCTCTCTCGCTCTTGCTCTCTCTCCACCCTGTCTTCCGCCACCACATCGAGGGTTCTTCTCTCTCGCCCTCGCTCTCTCTCCGCCCTGTCTTCCGCCATTGCCGCTGCGGTTCTTCTCTCGCTCTCTCGATCTCTCTCACTCTGCCATGTCTTCCACCACCGCCACAGCAGTTCTCTCGCTCTCTCGATCTCTCTCTCTCCGGCTTGTCTTCCGCCACCGCCACTGTAAGTTGCAGCAATGGCTCTCTCTCTCTCTCTCCCTGTCTTCCTACTCTTGCTCTTGCTCTCTCTCCCTCCCTCATGTCTTCCCACCACCACCACCGCCGCTGCAACTTGCAGCGGTGGCTCTCTCCCCCTGTCTTCTCTCTCTCTCTCTCTCTCTGTCTTTCACCGTAATTTTTATTAATTATTAATTATTTTATTATTTTTATTAAACATTAATTATTTATTATTAAATTTACTTATGTTATTTATTATCTATTAAATATTTTTATTAACTAATAATTTTTAATTATTTTATTAATTTTTAAAAATTATTTTAATTTTTGTTTGTATAAATTATAAATTATTAATTATTTTAATATTTTTATAGTCATTAATTATATTTTAATTGTTTCATTTACTAATTAATAATTAATAATTTATTATTTTTTATTTGTATTGTTTCAATATTATTTTAAGGTTAAAAATTATTTTTTATGAGATAATGTAAATTGAACTCAACATTTTCAAATAATATGTTTTAGGGGTAAAATAGTAAAATCAATAAATTTCAAAGGGTTGATCCAAAACAAACAAACTTATAGATTCAAATCCTCTAAAAAGTTGAAAAGCAATTATGCCTCTTTTTAGATTTCAGACACTTTTAATATATTTTTAACTTTTCAGATCTGAATCTTCAGATTTATCAAATGCCACCTTAGTTCTGATTACGTATTTTTGCCCTGATAAATAATTGGGTTTGGGATCGTTTCTTGCTTTTTTTTTTTTTTTTGATAAAAAACGTAAGGGGCTACACAAGTGGGGGGGGGGGGGTAGTACGCAACTTGTAGATGATCTCCTTCCCGCACCTCTCCTTGAGCTCCCAACAGTCTTGAATGGCACTCCTCAAGTTCCATGCGCACGGACTAGACTTGTTAAGACAAGAAATAACTATCTTAGAGTCACCCTCAATTACGAGAGGAAAATTTGTGAAATTTAAGGCCAAATTATGGGCTTCCCAAGCTTCCGCCCTATTAATGGGGGTGTTATAAGCTTGAATATCCAAAACTGCACTACCCAAGTGGTTCCTAGCAAGAGCCGCAATGTTGCACATACCGTCTTCCATTTGAGAGGCATCAAAATTAATTTTAATTACACCAAAACCAGGGGGATCCCACCTTATATAACTACAGTCGCTGATTAAACTTTCACCATTAGACTTATTTGTACACTCTTGAAATTCCACAAGCGAGCCTAGGACATTATCCATGACTTTAAATTGAGGAGTCGAAAGATTCTTAAAACCCCTCAAACTTCAACTCTTCCATAGATGCCATAAAAGGAAAACACATTTTTCCTTAAGCCGATCCTCGTCGAGCAACAAATTCTTTGAAAGGTCCAGCCACCAATCTTTCATGGACCCGTCTTGATCATCAAGCCCTTGAATAGTTGGGAGGATAATCCCCCAACAATTCCTAGCAATAGAGCATTTCCTAAAAATATGATCCACATCCTCATCCTCACTACAAACATCACAACCACCATTGGTATTAAAACCCT